TAGAGTTTTATCAAGCAAAATAAAAATGTGATATGGCGAAAGTGATAAGGAGTTTATTGCTTGGCTGATTGCAGTATTTCAACAAATACAAAATAAATTTAATAGAAAGTTGGAATGCACAATAAATCATTGTTTCACTACAAAATAGCAAGTTTGTCTAAAAACTATCAAGTTTTCTTGTTAGCTGCTGAATTAAGGAGGCAACAGCTGCTATCTGAGATGCATATAGGTCTGTACTTATGTTCTTAATGAGTCATCCTGATTACACTTAGCTTTGTGTTACCTAAAATAAGTTGTCTCACCTAGTCATCCCTGTATATGATGCTTATCTGCTAATTATGCCATTTCTTCAGTCTGAATGTTTCACTAGAAGATACATTATCATGGCCTTATAGCAATGGATCTTCTTAAATTGTTATATTTGTTATTGTAAACCTTTCTGAGATGGTAAAAAATCTGCTTTTGATTTCTTATAGGAACAAACTATCTGCTTAAGCGTAAGGTTTGACTAAAAATTTAGGATTTCATAGGAATTTGATAGTACACAATTCTTTATAGTGTAAATCCAATGGGACCTGAAGTGATAGATACTCTGGATGTTGTGGTATTAAGGAATAAGGGAAAAAAATCAATCCTGTCTCAATCACTAGGTCAGTCAATCATGGTCTGTTTGGATGCAGTTTGCAGTGGTCTTGGACAACAAATCATCAGTGTTTTTGGATACAGTCATGTCACTTTTGCTTCCTCCAGGCTGAAGAAGAGTCAGACACAGTTGCCTGTTGACTTTAAGTACTTCTTAAAGTAAGGTAAATCTTATTTTCTTTGGCTGAAGAGCTTTGTGCTCAGGCATTGATGGCAATCAAGATCAGTAATGGAAGAGCCATCCGTTATTTTTCATTTGGGGCACATCAGGGAAAACAGATCCTTAACTTATAAGCCATTTTTATTCCTGCGTAGGTTTACCATTCTCTCAGTGTATGGGAGAATATTTAATTCTCTATATAATGTGACTTCCTGACTAACTAAATTTTGCGACGGTGCTGCATTTCAATGGTAGCAGATGCTCACAGTACAGTTGTGTAGTTTTACATTGGAAGGTAGCTAAAAATGTCTTTTATAGTTCATTTTTTTGGCATCCTAAATGCAATGATTTTTGTACTGAACAGTGTCAGGCTTAACTTGATAAAATTAGGCAGATTCTTTTCTCCACTATAAATGGTAATGTTATACGTTTTGAAGGCCATTTGTCCTTGCAGCTGGATCTAAAAGCAGATTTAGCTGAAATCTGTACCTGAAATTCCAAACTGTAAATCCTGAAAAATCCTGTTTTCCTTACCCCTGAGTCAGAATGCCACCAAATTTTACTGGCTTTTAAATATCTCGGCAACTTTAGTTCAGTTTCTACAGACAACCAGCTGAATTCTGGGGTTTAGGCAATTTAGTATACTTAAGAAAAACAGGGATTAAGAAACTTGATGTTAATCTGTCTGTCAGTCAGTGCTTCATGCCTTTGATGCAGTAAGAAGATTTGATCTCATACTTACTTTGGGATTGTCATCTCTCTTTTTTAGTGGATTTATTGTACCACTTTTCTTACCAGGATTTACTACACTCATTCAAAAAATGGGAGAATTCTTCTTGAGACTTCCAAGGTTCAACATCTGTTGCTCCAATTTTTTTAGCAGTCTTTCAGCCATCAAAATGGGGATGTTATACCTTATTACTGAATCCGATCTAACCAATGAACAAGTGATCTTTTGAGTGACTGGGAACATGGCTGTGAGATGTGGTGTTCTGCTACCTGGTTTCCCATATTGGATTTTGAAGATTTCTGTCTGGAGACTGAGAGCAGGGCAGTGAGTCAACATTTGTAACATCTCTTGCTTAAGTTATTTTACTGCCGTGTAATTTTTGTTATACCACATTGTTGTTTAATGCTAACCAAGACTCTCCAAAGTGTTAGTGTTGTAATTAAAAACCCAACTGAAATCGCAGATGTGTGCAGTTACTGAGAGTATTTTTCTGTACTCTCTTTGCTTGCCTTAACCATTCTTTGAGGGTTTGGAAAGCTGCAAATGGAACAGAACCCCAGCTGCAGGTGGAAGGTGAAACACATGACAAAGAACAAATGAGGCTGAAAATTGAGTTTGCTCTGGTGCATGTGGGTATCAGTGGAACTTTAAATGGTCTTCAGATGAGTAGATCAGTACATTTCTCAGCAAAACATCATAAACAGTTAATTCCACAGGACACCAGGGGCTGCTGGCATGTGTAGGAGTAAAGCGGGTTTTAGCAGTAAGGAAGAAGGAAGTCTAATGTTTGGACTTCCTCTCAAGGTTTTTAAATGCCTGCTGTGCCCTAAGCCAGTGGTCTAAGCCAGCTGCCTACAGTTAACCCTATGCATTTAGAGCAATCAGTTCAAACAGGTTTTGGAGACATCTGCTGCAGTATAGAAGGAGGGGAGTGAGACAGGGAGGTAAGTCAGTTTACAGAGTATGCATTAATGTATCCAGATACTGTGACCAGAGTGGTACCCTCTCTGTCAAACACAGTCAAGCCACAAGTTTATGTATATTTCCTATACTTTTTGTCGTGCTGGTGTAGCTAGGCCCCACAAAGTAGAACTCAACAGCTGTTCCTCTTTTTCTGAGACGAACGCGTGTACCAGAGGGTCTGCTGAGTCTACTTCACCCACGTTTTGCTTTACACTAAGGAGCTCCCTACATCTTCCACTGCTTCCACGAACATTTGGGGATGCAAAGTTCTTCTAAAAATCACATGCAATCATTTTTTTAAAAACTGCTTTCAAAAAATGGGAGAAGCATGTAGAGAAAATTGCATCAAAGAAGACTAGGAGATTTAGTTGAACAAATCCTCTTTCATACAGCAATAGCACTTTTCTCTTATAGTGCCTTCTGCGGCAGTATCCCAAAGATTTTTATCTTTTTTTTACAGATGAGAAAACTGAGGCCCTGGGATAGGCCATTTATTTGGGTTAAATTTTAAGACAGCTCTCCAATGCAAGTATTATTCGTATGGCATGTGCATTTTACATTAGTGAAAGCAAAAGCTGTTTTGTTAATGCTTTCAGTGGGAAAATGGATCATGCAGATCTCCCTCAGGATTTTGAACACAGCATTACTTAGATCCATTTATGTACATGTAGAAAATCATAATAAATGTGGTTTGCCTGGCAAAGGTATATCATTGCTACTTGTGCAGGCAGAGAAAATGCTTCTGAGGCAGTTATTGCTCTTACAGTTTCATCTGTAAAGTTAAAAAGCAGAATAAGTCCATGACCTAAAGATCACTAGCACATTATTTTTACCTTCCTGAACTTGCGAAGCCCTTAACAGGAAAACGTTTCAACCTTCAGTTTTAAGAGACTGTATGTTGAGAAAGAAAGGGAAGTCCTCTCTTTTACTAATTCCTGGTTTTGTTAAAAAATTGAGCTTTTCCGTTTTAATACCGATGTCACGATCACATAGACACCTGCACATTTATCACTATTTCAGTTTACTGCATAGACTTAGCACCAGACAGAATCACTCTAATAGAAGTTTTATTTAAAGACCACTGTGGGCATGATAAAATCTGTTTTCAGAGGAATAGGACAGACATGAGGATACAAGTAGAGGTGTGATGATCTCTCAGCTACTTACATCTATATTAGTCAAAATCTCTGGTAAAGTGCCCAAATGCACTTGTTCCCTTCCAAATAAACAAGCACTGTATTTATGTGAGCAGCTGGGGTTAAGAATATCAAGCTGCTAATTAAACTCTGCAATAGTTTTCACAGTGAATATGATTTTCAGAAGTATCTTATGACAAGGAAATGTACTATGTGAAATTCCATATCTGTGACAGAATCAGAGCAGTGAATAGCTTTATCCAGTTTTCTCCCTACCTGATTTTAAAAAATAAAGTCTGCAAGTACTTGACCTTACATTTGATTACTTGTTTATCATCCATAACAAAGAGAGGCAATAAAACCCCTCCAACGCTGATGATCCTTTGTAATACTTTTTAAACTTGCTAAAAATAACCATTCAACAAGTGACAGAAGGACCACGCTCTCTTCTTTTGTTTTTCCCATTTGAGCATGAACTGTATCAGTGAGTTTGAAATTAACTAATAGGTGGCACTGAGAACTCATTAAGAAACCAGTCTCCTTGCAATTGTAATGTTCCCCTCCTTAGAGATTGTTTTCTGCCACTTGAACATGTCAATGACACACCATGATCGTAGGAATTACCTTATGATGGAGACATAATGCTATGTAATTAAAGACTGTGTCTAGGTTTCTTCAGATGACTGAACAGTATCAGCACCTGTTACCAGAAAACAAGTTTTATTTGTTTTTTAAAGAGTCTAAATATTCAAAACCAAGTTGGTCAAGTAATTTTATTGTACAGAACATGGTAGGAGACCGTGGTATGTAGCTAAGGTTGTGCAGACAGGAAGCCTTGGAAAATATTCTATTTCTTTTGGAGCTGTATTTAGAGGAAAGATTGCATCTGTTTCATTTCAAAGAAAAATCAAAATACATATCTTCTGAAAAGCATTGAGGACTAGTATGTGGTACTTTTTCACCTCTTGCAGTCATACTGTGTATCCTTAAAAGTGTTCACTTTTCCTCTATTACACTGTCTTTTGAATGTTACCCCAGAATAAAAGAAATTTTGAACATTTATGTGGGAAATTTTAAAAGTGTGTTTTATTTCATCTTTTAAATGCAAGGGAATAGGTAAGGAAAAAGCATTATGCTATTGTATTATATTTTGTAAATGAATTACATTTGCAGTCCAAGCACTGGCTTCCATTACAGCTGGCTACTATGGTGGATGGCATATTTCTGTATGGAGCCATTAAGAAAGAATAACTATGGAATAAATGACTTCACAGTTGGTCATTCATCCTTCAGGGAGGAGGTGATGACATCAAATATCCTTTGACTGAGACGTCCTTGGGAGCTAAATCACACCAGTCAAAGTACAAGGTCCCTCTGCAGCCTCAAGGCGCAATGCCCTGCACCTGCAGGCTGCAGATGGCTTACCTGGGTGACCAGACCACATTTTAATGTGTGTTTCAAATGGCTGACTGTGTGAAAACTCAGCTGAATGACAGTTGGCGTCCTTGAAGCTGACTGTATTTAAATGTGGAGGATAGCAGTTGGCCTGGGCTGCAGGTTGTTTGATGCTGCTCCTGGCAGTGAGTGCCAGCTGCTGCACCACTTTGCAGTATGGTGGAATTTGTTTTCCAGTGAGGAAAAGGACCATGGCCAAAATTATCTCTTTCTGACACAGTTTACCTAAGTTGAATTCTTTTATAATGGAAAATACTGTATTAGTGTACATAGGATGAAAATGCACATTCATGGAATGAAATGCCACAACTTTACAGCAATAATAGCAGGTATGAACTGGCACGTATTTTGTCCAGATTAGTTACATCTGGAAAGAAAAACTATTTTTTGATGTGTCTCCTCTTCAGGACATTCATGGCTAATTGAGACCCAAAGTCCTGCTGTTATGCGATGGGTGTCTCTGTTAGCTTTTGAGTCCTGATGATATGGGTTTGGTTTTGAGTGCTGATAGTGTCTGTTCTGGTAGTATCCTGAGAATCACAATTTCTCTACATTGATATATTCTTACCAGCTTTAAAAAGCAACTGAGATTTTAATATTGTAGTGGGACATTTGAGATAAGACCAGGTAACTCATATTGCACCTTACATTAGTACCAGGCCAGACAGTTTAACAGGGCTTTGCAATGCAATTACCAGACGGATCTGCATAGTCACGCTGCATTTGCTGAGGGTAACTGCAGTAAAGGCAAATTAAAAGATCAGAGGTGTGAGTTCCTGTGTTAGTGGGTTAGGAAAAAAAGAAACCAAACTCCTCTCTCTAAGTTATTATAACTTCGAAATTAAGAGGCTTCAGGCGAAAGGTGTAGAAAAGGAATAACCAATAGTGGCGCAACTAAAACTTTCAAAACAAAGTCCTACTTCCTCAGGTGGCTTTATGCATGTTGATGTTCAACATCTTCCTACCAAAGATCATGGTTTTATTGTAGATGTCTAGAAGCCACCATATCCTTATATATTTCAATATATATATATTTTGTGCTGTACCTCCATTAAGTAATAATTATGCTGATAAAATTTGATGCCAATTATATAAATATATATTTTTTAAAAAATATATATGTATTATAGAACCACAATTTTTCTGGAACATAGTCTCTTTTAGGAAAGACTTGTTTCCAGTTTGGTTTAAATAATTGTAACTATGCTGGTTTAAAATCCCATTAAATGCTATAAATAGTGCAGACCCTTATGGCATACAAACACTTCTTACAGCCGGATAATCCATTTGGTGTTATTTCGGAAAGCTCACTGCAGACAGGGGAGAAGAAAGTTCTTGACCTTTCTGTTAATACTCAAAGAAAACCCCTAAAAAACTCACAGAGGTGCTTCTGCACAGTCCTTACTCACTGTTGTGCAGGCCACATCTTCAGCAGGTAGGGCAAAGGGTAGCTTCAGCAAGGAACAAATGCAGCATGAATAGTAACCACCTTAACCACAAAAGTGGATTTAGGTTCTCTTCAGCTGCCAGAGTTCAGCTGATGCAGAAATGATACAATTTGAATTGATTTCGCAGGAGATATAGTCTCACAGAATTTCAGCTGGAAATTGAACTCTCAGATTCTAAAACCTCTTTTTACTGACTGTATATGTTCTATCAGTAACTTTAAGAGGGAGGAATGCGAATTGACAAGAGTAGAAGGTAAATTAGGGGCAAGTCCTAAAAGGGAGTAAGATTCCTCAGTACTCTAGCGAGTAGCAAGCTTTTTAGTGTGTCATTAAAAGGTAATGAAGGCTCTGAAATTGGCAGTTTCATCAGGGAGACATCCCCGTGACTCATCTTGTGTAAGCAGAGCTGACTCCTTATGATCAAAATAGAATAAAATACTCCCATTCCATGAAGTGAGAGCCACATAGTAGTGGAAAAAATAGTCTTTTTTTTTCTTCTTTTTTTCTCCTCTTTTTTGCTCTTTATTTGAGTCATGATTTTATGGCTCTTAATTAAACAAGACTTTTAGGACCTCATAAAGTCTCAGCATGGCATTAAAAAAAGTCAGTCAGATTTGCTTGCATGTGTAGCAAATTTTTACTATAACCAGATCATACAGTGACAACTATTTTAATTGTGATAATTTTTCAATATGGGGGCATTTTATTAAAAATGGACTTCATCCTGTGATCCATCATGCTTTTAGAAATGGTATCTTTTTAAGTACATTAAGGAGTGCTTTTGTTAGATGTATGGAAAAGCAATCCAAGTAAGTTTTTTTCTTTTATAAAGTATGACTGTAAATGGTTTAGATAAAAAAAAAAGGCATCACATTTTTACTGTGTTTTCATAGCACCATGTTCAGAGATGTATTTTTTGTCTCTTATGTTTTGTCATAATACTATTTTTAACTTGAAATATTAGTCATAAGAAACCAAGACTTTTGAAGTAGCAGTAGCCATGACAACCTTCACTTTTGGGCGTGCAGTACAAGGTCTGTCACTGTGTGGCTGGACTGTGTATGCTGCATGTGACTGAATGAAATGTTACTGTGTATGGTAAAATTACTTGTCAGTTCATTGAAGACTACTTTTTCGAGATCATACAACAAATTAATTGCAAACTGCAATTTAGGAAATTAGTTGTCAGTGCTATGCTTGTTCCATCAAACAGTAGATAAAGACACTGTTGAGCAAACAATGTCTATTAAGCAGGGCATATTTTGTGGATTTTTTTTAATTACTTTCTCTGTTCTGTTTTCACATTCTGAGTAATCTTTTTCATTTCCTCCCTTTCTTTTACTTATTTTTCTATTTTTCTTCTTTTTCTGTTTCTCTGTTTTCTGCTCTTTATCATCTCTGTACCTAGCACATACTCTGTGGCTGAGATCAAGTAGGCAATTCTGTGCATGTTGACTTAGGTCTTGGGAAGAGGGATATGAATCACCTGAGGCAGCATTTGTCTTACTGGGTTCTTGAAGCTGAGATTAATTGAGAATAACATGAAGTCAGAAACTGATAAATCTGCCACGAGTAGAGCTTGAAAATATGATTAATACTGCTTTCATATATGCAGTGCTGCTAAGGTTAGTATTAAAGATTTGAGTTTTTCAAGTGGATGCTTATATGATAGGTCTTGTAGTTAAAGCCATGTGGTAGCTTATAGTTTTAATTATATCTGGAAGTGGTGAATTTGAAACAGAACCCTGGTGTATTTGTAAAACAAGCAAGTAGCTGGGTTTTTTTCAAATTACTTGGGAGGGGCACGTTTTTTAACCCCATTTGAGTTGTATTGATCTTTAACTGCTTAATTTTCGCTGTAATGAGTTGGAATAACTGAGATGTCTTGTGGTACCTAACTTTAATTACTTTGGCATTAAATATGGCATATTTTCTGAAGGGGCCTGAGGATATGTGGGGCTCACCAAGGCAATATTTAGGTGGGTGATGTTCTCTTGAGCACCTTTGTTAGTCAGCAATGCAGCTAGAAATATGTGAGTGAAACTCTGAAGACTCTGTTTCTACTCTGCAAAAAAAAATTTCTGTAAGCAGGGATTAAGCTTTGTACATAACCGCAAAGGTGTTTATGATCATGTGTTCTTGTCAGTCTACAATTGCTAGATTAAAAGAATATCAGGAACTGTAATTAGCAAACATAAAAAAAAAGGGTTTTCTACAATCTCACAGAGTTTTTATCAAAATAAATCAAAGATGGTTTTGTAGAACTCAGTTTAGATATTAATGAATATGGTTGGAAAATGATATTATGAAGAATTTAATCTTTATGCAGGATATGGTTCTACAGTAAGACATTTCCCTACAGATTGTACAGTAGAGCTGAAACAAAGTAATCCCCAGGTTTTTGTTAAATTAATACTGCCCATTTTATACAGCAAATGAGAAATGAAACTGCACTGCTAGTGCGAAAATAGTAAAAGTTTACATACCATCGTGCTTACATACAGAGAGCTAAATTGAAGTTACATGATAAGTTTAATTGTGCCATTTCTTGTATTTTTGAATGTGTCTATAAATCATTCGGGGCCCCTGGTGGTCTAGTGGTTAGGTTGCAGCACTCTCACCGCTGCGACCCGGGTTCGATTCCCACTCAGGGAAAAACTCCCCCGGGCAGATGGAGCTCGTCAGCCCTGTAAGGCCATCCATCTAAGAGAAGGTCACTCTTCATCCTGAGGACATCCTGAGGACGTACATCCTGAGGACCTCACTGCCACTGTCCAAGCTTGCTCGACCCCGGCAGATGAACTTCAGGATTAAAGGGTGGGCTCAGTTCAGCGCACACTGTGTCTCACCTAAAAAATCCACTGCGCAGGCTCGAAGGGTTAATGACCTTTCCCAAAATCTTCGCTCGCGAAGATTGGCCATACAGATAAATCATTCATTATCTTTAAAACTATTTTATGCATGTGGTTTAGTTTATCTGGTTTTATATCTGTAAAATAGAGTTTTATAGGCAGTATTTTCAGAAATAATTGTAGATTAAAATAACTGATTAGAAATACAATTTATTATTATAGATAAAATTAATTATGATTACATATATTATAATCAGTTTAAAATATTTATTTAAAATTTTATATGTATATATATATCAAATCAAGGAACACATTTAAAACAATTGCCTCATCACTTCTCTGAAGATAAAGGAATTTTTACTTTTCAGTTCAACAACTAGGACAAAGCTAACCTCGATTCTATGAAGTTGTTTGGAAATAAATTGGAAAAGGTTGTATCCAGGCAACAGCAACTTAATAATTTTATAACTTCTTACATCCACTTGCTCAATATGAAACCATTTTCTTATCAAAAAATACCAACTTATATAAACTATTTGCTTGGTATGCTCTTCTTTCTGGTAGAGAATTCCTCCACATTAATACACAGCTAACAAAAAGTTAACAGTTTACTTGTGCCTGTATTGTTACAGGCCTACACATCAAGCTACATTGGCAGCAGTGTAAAGTGTGATCTTTTGACAAGCAATGGCTTCTGTACTTGAATATAAATATTAGGCACTGGCTTTCAAATGGTAGGAAGAGTAGTGAAAAACTGTTCTCCCTTTTAAAGATCTGGTGGCATCTGTTTCTCAGGCAAACCAGAGAGAGGACCTTCTGGTTTTTCTCTGTTGAGGGAGCAAAGAGCTGGATTCTCCTGTCCTTGAGCCTGTATGTGGTGACCCTGAGGGCTGGGAGGAAGGATGGTAGGCTTTGCCCTAGTTCCCACAAACAGGCTTGAAGGACAGGGGAACAGGGTGGTAGCACACCCTGGACCATGCCAATGAAGTTATATGTGCTAAGCAAAAGGCCTAGGAAATTCCAAAGAGGAAGGGAAGAAGAATTTGGGGAAGAGCAAGGTGCACTGGGGCATTTCAGATTTTGTGCTGTGGGGACAGATTGGGCATGGCAGCTATTCCCCAAGGGAAGTGAGGGATAGTCTGGCAACTTAGGGTGGTGCTGCCCAAGAGATGTCAGTACTAGCTTCTCTGTTACCATAGTCGAATTGGTCTCTATTGCAAAGACTCACAGAGATAACAATCCTGCTTGTGATTCACCATCCTCAACTAGAGTTTGCTTTTCGTTTTTGTTCATTTGTAGAAATCAAGAGAAGAGGTAAATCTGGCTCCAGGAGAGCTTCTTGTGACCACCACAGAACATTCTCTACAGACCAGTTACATGCTGCATGTTTGTATCTCGCATGACAGTGTGAGCAAGCTGACTAATAAAATTATAATAGTGTTAAAGTTTGCGTATTGGGTATGTAATAACCCATATTTCTTTACTAAACTTGGACATAATCATGCCAGTCATTCTGGTATGTTTGACTTCACAACTTCAAGATAGTCCAGTAACTTCTGTATTTGAAGACAGTCTTCTCTGAGGTGTACAATTTTTGAGCATGTGAAAGGTAAGTATGAACCACATTTACTTTAAAAGGTTTTAGTTGGATTTTGTTTTTGAACTGTGACAGATTCATTACTCTCTTTGTTTCTCTTTGGCGTTGGTACATATCAGCAAGTCGGTGATAGCCCACATCTAAATCTATCTGTGATAGAGTGATTGCTTCTAATTCTGCTTCTTGTCAGATCTACCAGCTTTTGGTGTCTCTTTCTGAAACACTTGAACTTTAAAGTTGTCTTCTTCTTCTTTATTTTTTTTTTTTTTTTTTAGTAAACTATAAACACAGCTGAACCAGTCTCATAAGCTAAGAAAAACATTGATCTGGAGGGCCGTGTGCTGCACGCAGAAATCCCATGTTATCTATTCTAAATAATTCAGGCAAAAGAAGGGCAATGAAGCTGGTAAAGGGTTTGTAGACCACGTCTTATGAGGATAGGCTGAGGGAGCTTGAGGGCTGAGGATTGTTTACCCTAGAGAAAAGAGCACTCAGGGGAGACCTTATGGCTCTCCACAACTACCTGAAAGGAGGCTGTAGTGAGGTGGGGATTGGCCTCTTCTCCTAGGTATCTAGTGATAGGGCAAGAGGAAATAGCCTTGAGTTGCACCAGGTTTAGATTGGATATTAGGAAAAATTTTTTTCACAGAAATGGTGGTAAGGCATTGGAGCAGGCTGTCCAGGTTGAATCACCATCCCTGGAAATGTTAAAAAATCATGCAGATGTGGCACTTAAAGACATGGTATAGTGATGGACTTGGCAATGCTGAGTTAATGGTTGGACTTGATGATCTTCAAGGTGTTTTCTGACCTAAACGATTCTATGATTCTAAAACTGTGTGAAAATTAGTCTTTTTAATAGTGATTTGCCTAAAAATCAGTGGAAAATTGTTGATAAAATAAGGCTAGCCAAAACTTAAAACTGAATTCTGGCTCTTCCTGACTGCTTTCCCACTGTTTTGAAGGTATGAAACATCTGTCCTTGGACAGTGTTTCAGACTCCCAATGGTCACCTACCCCCTCTACTATCATTAGTTTGATACTAGTTGCATTTCTTTATATTTTTTTTCTGTGGCTTTGAATATTATTTTTATTGCGTTTACAATTCTGTTCTGTGTGGTTTTTCACTTTTACTTTCCAGTAGATCTCTCTTTCATTTCTGAAGCCAGAAAAAGTAAAATTTTAGGCTGTATTCTTGGAAACACTGTTATTGGCAACTTTACTGACAATTCAAGATTTGTAAGATGACATTATAGGTTTGAAAAGTATTGTAGAAGTGTCCTTGAACCTAGCTTGAGACACGGCCTAGAGCTAGGGACCTGACAAATACAATACTTATAACCTGAGTTTTTTAGCATCTGGAGAGAGTATCTTATAGTGAACTTCTTTGAACTGCTCATTTTCTTCAGAAATGGAGCTGAAGTGCAGCCACAGTGGATAATCCATAATGGATTCCCTTTCCCTGTCCCTCTTTCTTTTCTTTCGATCTTTCTTTGGCTTCCATGTAGGAAAAGCATAGCAATGTCTGGCAGATCAGCTATTGGTAACAGTGACCTGAAAATCTCTAGGCCTTTGGTTTTGCAGATCACGTCATCTCTGCTTTATCAAGGGCGCTGAGAGTATTAATGCGTGCATGTAAAGTCTTTGCAATGTCTTATGGTTGATAGCATTAGATTGTGACTAGCAGCAATTTCTTCATCTAAACTAATGACAGTTCTCCATCTAAGCACTTCAGACATTCTGGGACCTTTCCTACACAAAGATTATTAACCCTGGATAATGATTTCATTATAAGAACTGGTGGTCTCTAAAAGTAAGCTTGAAACCAAACTCATTTTGCTCTGTGGAGTTAAAAGCAGAATGTAAAATTAAGCACCGAGGTGAAAGTGTGGCATACGCACATCAACTCTGTGAAAGGTAGACCCAGGGAGAATTATTTTCATGCATAAAGTGTACAAAAGCTCTTTAATTGTCTGTTACAGAATGACATTTAAGCATCTACTGCTGTTTTTATTTTTTTTTTTTTATAGCTACTCTCTGAAAAGTCTTTATATAGGCCTTAGAAAGTTTTGAAAAACCTTTAGGTTTAGTAGTGTTAGATGTTGGCAGTGTGGTGAACTTGCAATAAATCAGTGGCATATTCAAGAAGAAAAATATCCACCACCATCTGTAATGAAGAAAGAACTGTGTCCTAGTTATGAAACAGGGCTCAAAGATAGTATTCACTGAGTCATAACTCCACTAAAGTTCATATAGCTGATGTATTTGAAGCTAAGCTGTGTATAGAGATATATCTTAAAATTTATCAAAAGGAGGATTAATTCTGCTCAGATACAAATACAGCATTTTGCAAAACAAAGCTGGAATATAGTTCCTCCTGAACAGTCTCCTGAACAGTCTTCAGATGTAGAAACTTGTAACATCTCTAATAGCTACATCAGACAATAGCAAAGTACATTCTGTGTCTTTAAAATAATTTATATAGAGCCTCACATAATGGTGATATTGTCCAAGAAAATAAGATCTTCTCTATCATCTTAAATATCAAAGAATACTTATGAGATCTCCCTATTGTCAGTAGTAGCTGACTAAATTGACAACAGCAATTACAGGCTGTACATCCTTATTATGTAATTTAAAGTTCAATAAACACAGACTTTTTTTTAGGAACTGTCTGTGATATGGTTTTCTAGTAAAGGTGCCCCTGTAAAATAGGGAGAAAAGTATCTGAGGGAGTCAGATACTGCAGTCATGAAGGATATGGAACAGATAAGGAGAAAGTTAGGCCCCAAACTTAAGGAAAGCAAACTGTAAACTCTTCAAGGAGAGAGTCAATAGGATCCTTTGAGTGACTGCCCTCAGGGACAAGGGAGCAGAACAGAGCTGGCAGATCTTTAGGCGAGTATTCCATATAGTTCAAGAGCTAGCAGTCCTCAGGAGCAAGAATTCAGACAAGGAAGGCAAGAGACGGCATGGCTGAGTAAGGAACTGCTGGTCAAGCTAAAGAAGCAAATACGCAGACAGTAGAAATGAGGACAGATAACCTGGGAAGAATATACAGATGAAGTTTGGTTGTGTAGGTACAGGATGATGAAGGGTAAGGCAAAGGTGGAACTGAACCTGGGAAAGGACGTAAAGAATCACAAGAAGGGCTTCTACAGATATGTTAATCAGAAAGAGAAGGTCAGAGAAGGTGTACACCTCCAATAAGCAATGCTGGAAAACTGGTAACAACGGATAAGGAGAAGGCTGAGGTACTCAACAACTTTTTTTGCCTCAGTCTTCACCTCTTGAGTAGATGGACAGCAGGACAAGGACTGGGGGTGAAAAGTGCTTCCCACTGTTAGTAAAGATCAGGTTCATGACCACCTGAGAAACCTGAATGAGAGCACAAGTCTATGGGACCAGATGAGCTGCAACCCAGAGTCCTGAGGGAATTGGCTGACGTAGTTACCAAGATAGTTGAAAGTTGATAGTTGATAGTTCATAGTTGATAGTTGATAGTTCAACCATGATAGTTGAAAAATCATGGCAGTCAGGGGAAGTCCCAGGTGGCTGAAAAAAGGGAAACACTGTACCCATCTTTTACAAAGGGTAGAAAGGAGGATTCTGGGAACTACCAACCTGTCAACCTCTCCTCTGTGCCTGGGAAGATCATAGAACAGATCCTCCTAGAAGCTATGTTGAGGCACATGGAAGGCAGGGAGGTGATTCTGGACAGCCAGCATGGCTTCACCAAGGGTTGTTCCTGTGTGACCAACCAAATGGCCTTCTGTGATGGAGCGACTACATCAGAGGACAAGGGAAGGGCTGCAGATGTCATATATCTGGGCTTCTGTAAAGCCTTTGACACAGTCTCCAACAACATCCTGCTCTCTAAAGTGGAAGGAGATGGATTCGATGGGTGGACTGCTAGGTGGATGAGGAATTAGTTGGACGGTTGCATCCAGAGAAACTGGTCAATGACTCAGAGTCCTGATGGATATCAGTGATGAGTGGTGTCCCTCAAAGGTCCGTATTGGGACCAGTGTTATTTAATATTTTCATTAATATCTTTATTAATGCCATAGATGAAGGGATCAAGTGCACCCTCAGCAAATTTGCAGATGACACCGAAAGGAGTGGTGTGGTTGACACACCTGAAGGACAGGATGCCATCCAGAGGTACCTGGTATCATTGTTTTGGGAAGGTACTCCCCAGTTCAGTGCCCTCACTGAGACCCTCCCCAATCAGACTCCACTTGCTTGCTTCCTGACTTCCCCTCCTTCTTCCTGCTCAAGGAATGGAGTTGAGAATTGGAGGCCCAAAAGGTGAAAACCATGGATTGAGATAAGAACAATTTACTGGAAACAGCAATGAGATAAGAAAATGAACACTAGCAGCAACAATATTAATAACAAAAGGTATAAGACAGAATTATTTATATGGAAAATCGTGACAAATACCGACTGACGCTTTCCTCCAATACCACTCTTTCTCCCACTGGAAGGTAATGCCAATTGTATCCTGGGCTACATCAAAAACAGTGTGGCCAGCAGCTCGAGAGAGGTGTTTCTGCTCTGCTCTGGTGAGACCCCACCTGAAGTGCTGCATCCAGCTCTAGGGTCCCCAGCACAGGAAGGACATTGATCTGTTGGAGCAAGTCCAGAGGAAGCCACCAAGCTGATTGGGTGGCTGGGGCACCTCTCCTATGAAGAAAGGCTGAAAGGATTGAGGTTGTTTAGCCTGGAGAAGGGGAGGCTTAGGGGTGACCTAATTGCGGCCTTCCAGTGCCTGAAAGAAAGCTGGAGAGGGACTTTTTACCTGAGCGTATAAACAGAACAGAACACAGGGGAATGGCCTCAAAC